AAAATTAAAGTCTTTTTGAGGTTATTCAGCTTATAGCAACATTGAGCATGTAGATAAATGATGCTTCTGGAAAGCATACCCTAACTGTTGTTGGGCACCTCATTGGAGTAATGGTTAGCAAGCATGTCTCGCTAGAAAAATTACAACTGAGTAGTGAGTTCGATCCTTAGTTTCGGCTTTGTGCCATATCTAAGCTACGTTTAGAAAATCATCATACCCTAATGGCTGTGTGGAATAAAATTCTTTAAAGAACTAGAGATAAAACCTCTCTGCAAAGCGGTATAAATTCCCGTTTCAAAAAGAAAAAGAAAAAAAGGAAAAAAAGAAATACTATAAAAGCAATGTTCTGAAGTTCCTGTCAGTGACTTGATACGAAGCGTGAAACGTCGGCCAGTAAATGATGTTAGCATCAAAGACTGGTTTCAATCCCCTTCGGGTCTTCATTCTCACCTTGGGCCCATCGGCACCACGGGAAATGGCTCAAAAGATGAATTAAATCAGGGCGAATGAAGGCAGTTGGGGTGAGGGAAATCGTTCAATAGGGGTGGTTAAAGTGTAGAGTTGAGGTATTTAAAGAGATTTGGGTAGAGTAAGCTTGGGTAGATTTTACTTTTTTTTTTCTCCGAGAATTATTTTTTTCCTTTTCGGGTATATAGGAGAAATGGCTTTTGACGACTCACTCCAGAAGAGGGTGCTGAAAAGGTATTTTATTATTAAATAGCTTATTAATTTAATTATAAAAGCCGTCCACAAAATTTTTTTTTATTTACAAAGATCACAAAAGATACCTATAACTAAACAGTTATTTTTAAACATTTGATTTTTTAAACTGAAAATCTACACTCAACAAGGATCCCTGGGTTGAGCAAGATATGACACAGGTTCGTAGCTATGAATAATAAAATTACATTTCTTATCTGCTTATTATTATGGTTTATCTAGGAGACTGTGCCTCCAGGCAGTACCTCCTTCATTCTATTAGAAGACTGCTATTTTTATCTTGGCAGATAAATAAGAACAAATTTAATTTCTAGTCATTCAAATAAAGCCATTTGGATGTGACGTCCAAACATACAAACACACATATACACACAAAGATTCAGTTATGTGTCATGCGTGATAAATGCATAGGCGATCATGCATCATTCGATATATGATTGACGATGTAGAGTTTTCCCCTCAGTAAGTTGCCATTGTCTTTTTGCGGTAGACCAGTTGCTATCCAAGGCTACAGAACTGTCCTGCTATTTACCCATAGTTTGGGGGGGGGGAGAAGAAAAGGATTCATACCGTAAGTGAATGTAATGGATTCGGCTGGAATTCGAACGCGGCTCTCTGATTCCTCAATCTGAGCCGCTATCCATTACTCCACCGTGACCATATCGATATTGATAAATAGCCTGCTTTTCTTATCTACAATTAAGTAATTTTTTATTTTTTATATTCAATATTTTTACTCATTACATAAAGTTACTTAAATAAATACGGCATCGTAATTGTTGCATTTCTCTTCTGTTCTGAATCATTTTTCATGCTGCTTATAAAATCATTCAAAGTGCTTGAAAAAGTTAACGATAACTCCTCCACAAAATATTTAACAATTACAATTGAACATTTCATTTTTATCATTCATATGTCGGGCACTAAAGAATATGATATTTTTATGAGAAAATTCAATTTTTATGATTTATAAAACAAGAGGGAAATTTGACGAGGAAGATGGTGTTGCGCCAAAAATAAAAAGAAGGGTTCGACTGCCTTGAAAATCAGAATTTTAAATCCTGTTTTTTTTATTAAAACTCGGTCACTGGCACCATATGGTATTTGTAAAATGCGTGAGACATCCGTAGAGGAACTATTTGCAATCAGTAAAGACTGTTTGAATTTGGGATTAGACGAGCTGATTGTGCATTTCCGGTCTCCGCGGGGTTTTCCTTCCTCACTCCATAACCAACGACAACGAGGTGAAGCTCAAAGCTTTAATGAGTTGTTTTTCATGCATGCGCATTGAGTTATTTGTTATTTCCGGCTTTATTTCGGCAAATTGCGCACCAATCAGAAAGCAGATTATCGAGAGAATCATTGTATTAAATCTAACATCATGTTTTCAGTTGTTAGCAGAGTAAGAATTGCTATTTTTTTATATATGGTAACATACTTAACTGTACGTAGTAGTAGTAGCAATAGTAGTAGCAGGAGTAGAAGAAGAAGAGGAAGCAGAAGAAGCAGAAGAAGAAGAAGAAGAAGAGGAAATGCGGTTATTATTTTTAAACTATGATACGAATGCGGAAAACCACTGCAAAGAACGAAGGAAATAAAAAAAAAAAACAAGAAATGTATTATTAAATATATAAAATATTTAAAAAAAATATTTAACACGTTATATTGAGGAGCGAGCAAAATAAAAGGAGTGAAAGCGAAAGAAAGATAAAAATAATACGTTATCTTGAGAGAATGTGGTAAAGATAGCTAGTTAATAAAGACATTTCTTCCTTTCTCTCAGTCTCTTCCTATCTATCTATCTCAATCTCTTCCTATCTATCTATCTATCTATCTATCTATCTATCTATCTATCTATCTATCTATCTATCTATCTCTGTTCATATGTATCTATCTCAGTATCTATCTATCTATCTATCTATCTCTGTTCATATCTATATTTCATATCTATGTGCCTCCTCTGTCCATATCTATCTATCTATCTATCTATCTATCTATCTATCTATCTATCTATCTATTTCGCTTTGGGGAATCGCAATAACGAAGGTATCATTTTGACTAATAACCACATGTGGCATTTACTACTACTAATAATAACTAATAACCACATGTGGCATTTACGAATAAATTCAGAGTTTACTCACCTACCTTAGTTTTTGTTTAGCAGTGGCAGCGTACACCGTTGATTAAAGAATACATTTCTTAACCCCACTAATGGAGGGATTGAAAGGGCGCTTACATAACTTTTGATATTATGGGAGTTCAAGTAAAGTATTAATATTATGGAGACTTCTAGAAAAATGTATGGTGTTTATGGCAAGTATGAATTTTGTTTGCAAACGTCGTCGGAAGATGAAGTCAGACCAATGTGTTCATCGGACTTTAATGATGAAGCTCTAATGTCATTAGTAGAAAGCAATCCACGACAAAGTACTCGGGACTTATTAAAATGTTAAAGACATCACAATCTACCATAAGCCGAAAAACAGGGAAAATCAGCGAGCTGGGTGTTTGGGTTTCAGATGCTCTTAGCGAAAAGAACAAAGGGGATCGTTTATCCATAGCCACAAGTTTATTTCACAACAAAGAAAGAACTGTTCTTTAAATATATCATAAGAGGCGATAAAAAATGGGTTACATACAACAATGTGAATCGTAAAAGGCAGTGGATTGACAATAATAAATTGCCGAAACCTACCTCAGAGCTAAGCACCATCGAAGAAAGGTAATGTTGTGCGCGTGATGGGATCGTCGGGGTATTATTCATTTAGAATTCTTAAAAGGAAACATTTTGCACATTTATACGTCTAGTATCTGCAACGTATTTATAAGTTTGGTTGACAAGTGCTATGCTCTCGCCAGAGTAAAGTTGTTAACAAAAGAAGTAATTATTTATGACTCAACTATCTATCTATCTATCTATATCTATCTATCTATCTATCTATAGATAGATAGATAGAGCTATCTATCTATCTATCTATAGATCTATCTATCTATCTATCTATCTATCTATCTATCTATCTATCTATCTAGATAGCTAGATAGATAGATAGATAGATAGATAGATATCCAGATAGATAGATGTGCATTTTGTTACATAAAAGAACATACACTTGAAGTAGACTCCATCAAGAAAACTGAAGGCTCAAGAAATGTTCACCTTTGTATACATGAAAATAGTTGTATACTTTACAGACAGAAATATTTCGTCTCGTCCCATAATTGCGGAATTTAGGATCAGAAAATCGTTAAAAATTTATGTTTAATTAAGTTATTTACTAAAATAACTTCCATCATTATCCATAAACTCTTTACAAAGGCCACAAACTACATAAAACTGTTTTTCGAAAATCTTTTGTTTTAAAGGGAAAAAACTATAGTGCGACTAGTTTCCTCCTCTCAAGGTGTTTCCGTAAATTCCGGAATACGTGGGATTCAAATGGAGCAAAATCTAGCGAATATGGAGAGTGTGGAATTTTTTCCCAGCTGAGGTTTTCTTATTTTCAGATAGGATTTGAGTTATTCATTGTCCTGGTGAAAAAAAATCACACTTTTACTAATCAAACTGAGTCTCTTTCTCATCAATGCAGAGTTTAAACACTGTAACTGTTGGTAGTAAATGTCTGTTGTATTTGTAAAATTGGCTGTTAGCAACCCAAATTTAATCACATTAATACAAAAACTTTCCTTGTACAAAACCTTCCCTTGTAAGAAAGTTGATTTTAGGCTGTGCGTTAGTCTGTTCGCCTCTGCTAGTCTATTCGCGTTTTATTGTTGCAAGTTAACAATTCTTCATCGCCATTAACTAATCTGCTCACAAAAGACGATATCCGTTCATATAAGTACAGTGTCCATTTTTGCATTTCGGTTGATTTCTGTCAAATTAAAAGAACCCGGTTTCCAAGTTTAGACATCTTGTCTATGTCGTTGCAGATAATAGTGAATCCTTGACTGAATTCTTTCTTTTTTTCAGGTTATTTTTCCACCGTAGCAATTCTGAGAAATTTAAATAAATGCAAATCATCGTTACACACAACAGGGTAACCTGTTTGTGAGATTCTTCTAAAGCTGAAGTCATTTCTTTTCTTAACTTTTCAAACTATCTTCGACAATTTCTTTCGTTTAAAAAATCTACCGCGTAAACACCATACATATATTGTGTTACTATTACAACATTATTGCCTTTCCGAAAATTCATAGGACAACTTACTGCTACGTGTTATGTGTTCTGTAAACGCGTTCATTTTTTAAGAAAGTCAAGGTCAAGTCAGTAACTATGTTGACATGTACTGTGACAGCCTAATTTATGGACATATACTAGCGTCTATCATTTAGGCATTATTCAATCTCTTTGTCTCTTGGTGCCGCTATTACTGTGCATCTTATCGGAAAGTTTTGTTGTTTTTGGGGAGCTATTTGAAACATTTAAATAAAACCCAAACATATGAAACTGGGTTCGATCCTCACTGGGTGACCCATACTTTCGGTTTCGGTTCCTTCATATGTGTATTCTTGGGATTGCTTCTCTTGAACTAATTTAACTTTGTTCCTATCTCTCGTGACATACGTTTTGGAATCCCAAATATATTGAGTGTTCTTTTCTGATTATTGGCTCGCAAGAGTTATAAGCTATTAATATCAACACTCGGTTTTCTGATTCTATTATCTTAGCACCGTACGTGGCTGGATTCCACCAATTATTTTATTCTCCACTGTAGCTCCCTACCTATTATTTTGACCTAATTCCATTAAGGTTTTCGTATCTTACTCAAACAAGAATTGTCACAAATTAACAAATATTCACGTATGCATTGTTCTTAAAAAGGTCTCTCGTTTTACACTATTATCCCAGACAGCCTCGTCATTTTACATTTGTCTAAATTATCGAAAAGTTTCCTTTTTAAGATCTTCAATTTTAAGTTCCATTTCTGTAGTTTTCTATCTTACTATTCAGAAAAGAACGAACAATTTCTTTAGAGATATAATTTAGAGTATAGAACACATTGCGCATTTGTGACGTCAGTCGATATGATGGGGCATGAAAAGATCATAGATTTATTCCATAAATCGTTTGTCGACTTTAAACAAACGTCCGTCCATCACTCCTTATAACCTGTACTTTTGCGCATGCGCCTGCGACGATCGGACATGACAGATACATGTAACCTGTCAGATGGAGGCTGCAGCCTGTCTGTCTAAACATTGACGATAGAAAAACAATTAAAAACAGAGGCAAATCTTTATTTTATTCATCTTATTTATTTTATTTTTATTACGAGACAAATCCAACCAAGGTCGTCTTATTTTATTGGTCACGTAGGCATCACCGGCAGAATAACGCTGGTCTGATATTAACAGGCTTTTTTTGAAAAGAGAGAGAGAGAGAGAGAGAGAGAGAGAGAGAGAGAGAGAGAGAGAGAGGTGTGAGAGAGAGAGGGTGAGATAAAGAGAGGATAAAAAGATTATTGTAGGAGAGAAGAAAAGAGAAAATATGAGGGATAAAATTTCGAGATAGATGAGAAAAATCAAAACGAAAAAGATTAAGGGAAGAGAGACAAGAAAGAAAAGATGTTAAATAAGATAGAAACGTCTAAAGAATTATATGATTGATGAACATAGAAGAAACATTTAATTATGAAGAAAGAGAAAAAGAAAAAAAAAGAAAGAGAAAAAGATGAAGAGTAGATAGGAGAAGAGAAAAGAGAGAGAGAGAGAAAAAAAACCTCCAAGGGGAAAAATATAGAACAATGACAAGACAGAAGGAAATAAATGAAGATCTCTTGCATGAGAACAACGCCAAAGATAAAAATGGAAACGAAAACAGGAACGCTGAAATGAAAAACAAAACTTAAATAATAAAAAGAGAAGCATTGGAAAAGTTGATAGATAAAAAAAAAAAAAATCATAGAAAAAGAAATGGTGCATAGTTACTAAGCTAGTTTTGCAAACTAATTCGCTGGTGTAGTCAGTTCTTTTCTTACATTGTACCCGATTACTGCAGCTTTGTGCTTAACTAAGCAATTTAGTGCAATCGTATTTAGCAAGCTAACACCCCTTGACTATTGCTCTTGTAAGGAGTTCGACTCTAATTAAGTATCCAACCTAAGTAGCTTTCAGCGAGACTAGACTAAGTTGAGTAGATGTTTAAATCTTTATAAGGTAATGAAATGTGTTCGAACGAGAGAAAGAAAAGTTATGCAAAAAAGAAGTGTAGACAAAAAATAAGTGAAAGCAAAACTATGTAAGAACAAATAGAGTTAAAGAGAAAAGCGCGCGCGCGAGAGAGAGAGAGAAACAGAGAGAGACACAAAGAGAGAGAGAAAGAGAGAGAAGGGGAAGAGAACAGAAAGGAAAAATAGTGAAATGAATTGGAAAGAGATAAAAGAAGAGAAGAATTTAGTATAAGAAAAAGAAAATAGAAAAGAGAGAAGAATAAAATGGGCAAGAGAGAATGAGAGAAACAGAGAGAGAGAGAGAGAGAGAGAGAGAGAGAAAGGGAAAGGGAAAGAGAGAAATAGAGAAATGAAAAAGAAATAAAAGAGGAAAGAAAGTAAGTGGAAAAAAGGAGGATGAAAGTAAACGAAATGAAAAGAGAAGAAAATAAAGCGACCGAAAAATAAAAGAAAGAAAGAACATGAACGGTATTGAGGAGGATGAAAGAAAACGAGAGAGAGAGAGAGAGAGAGAGAGAGAGAGAGAGAGAGAGAGAGAAGAGAAGAGAAAGGAAAGAAAACTAAAGGAAAAGAAAATAAGGGAAAGAAAACGACTGGTATTGAGGAAGATGAAAGAATATGAATAAAAAAGAAATCGAGTGAAAAGGATAAAAAATAAATGAAAACCGGAAGTAGAGTGAAAGATGAAAGAAAATAAAGGAAAATTGAGCAGAAGAAGAAAATAAAACTAGTGAAACATAAAAGAAAGAGAAGAAACCAAGTGATAGAGAGGAGAATAAAAGAAAACGAGAGTAAAAAAAAAAAGAAGAAAGAAGGTAAGAAACTGAGCGGAAAAAGAAAAGAAGGAAGACGAGAGAAAGATGAAAGAAAACGAACGGAAAAGAGAAGGAAGAAGGGAAGAAAACGAGCGAAAAAGAAAAGGAAGGAGAGAAAACGAGATATAAAGAGGAAGATGAAATAAAATGAAGGAAAAAGAGAAAAAGTAAAAATAAAAACAAACGAAAAAGAAAAGAACAGAAACAAAACTAGAGGTTGAGAAGAGAATGAAAGAAAACGAATAAAAAAGAGAAAGAAAGAAAGAAAACGAGCAAAGAAAGCGTGTAGTAAAGAGGAGGATAAAAACGAAGGGAAATAGTCAGAAAAAAATGAGAGTAAAATGAAATTTAAGAACCTGTTTTTTTGGTAAAAATAAATATTGTGACATTTGAAATATGAAGTGTTTTTACACACGTCGTTAAAATATTCGCGATGTCTTATTGCAAGATGTTTTAAATACCTCACACCAATATATCCCTTCCAATTTGCCAAGCTAAAAGAACTTACGTTTTCTTGAAGTAGGAATATGTGCTATAAAAGTATTATGCAAGACATGCTTTGTGGTTCACGTTGTCTCGTATTTTCAGTAGACTTCATTTGTCAGTATTTGAGACTAACTCAAAAACAAAGCCAAGCAAAACACTTGAGAATGAGATATGAGAAATGAGATATTTTCGTCACATCGACGTAATATCCCGTCAGCAGCTCCGGGGCAATCATTGCTTTTACTATCTTCATCTTTATCTACAAATTTTGAATAACTTCTATTCACTGTCAGAGTAAAAAGACCCAGGAAAAATAAATATCTCATAAAGGAAGAAGATGTACAGTTGAATGAGCGCGTGAACAGTCAAATCTCGCACTTTTTTTACAATGATGTTCAATCTGTAAAAGGCCCAAGACCCAGTCGAGGTAGAGGGTTACAAATTAAGAGGCACAGTTTATGCGGATATGTGGAGAAGACAAAGGTTAACCTAAACTTGAAAAGTAAAGATTGTAGTGATCTGGAAAGCATCCTCTTGGAAGTCGGTTCCACAAAGCAGCGGCACTTAGGAAAAAGCTGCTCGAGTGGAAGTTACATCTCACCAATGGAATACGAAGGGAAGGAGGGTGGTTCGCTATAATGGGCGTGATATCTTAGACGTGAAGGTTAGAACTGGTGGAACTAAGCAACGCAGTTCGTCTGAACACTTTCCATGGAAATAGAGATAGAACAACGAGGAGATTGTGATGTTCTATCTGTGAGAAAGGGGTTGTAAGTTGGAAAATAATTCGTCACCAACAAGAACACATAGACGTTTTTGGACTCTATCAGGAGTGGAAAGTGAAGACTGGACAGCTCTTGCCTATATACATACATACATACATATATATATATATATATATATATATATATATAATGGACTCTCCCGTCGGTTTCGACGTATGAGGTTCTGTTAAGCTTAACCATTTGAGTCAGTTATGAATTCTGTGCGATAATCTTAAGTGGCACTTAAGACCCGCTAGTGATTTACAAAGGAGGTCGTATATGGAGCAAGAGGGAGAATTGTGGGATGAGATCACTGTTAGATTGGCTAACCTTTTAGGTCTTGCTCTCGCTTCTTGAAAACGATTCAGACTAGCAGAGTGAAAACTGCTGAGTCCACTAAAACACGTTGATCTTCACTCTACCCGCTCCAAGAAGGTGTTTTATATATATGTTTATATATATATATATATATATATATATATATATATATATATATATATATATATATATATATATATATATATATATATATAATACCAATTGGTAATTGGTAGGGATAATTCTAAGGTGGACATTAATACAAAGACAAAGAGAGGTTAAGCAGGAAACCGAAAACCCGACACCAGCACATGAGATATAATTATACTGATGAATTCGAATTCGAACTCGGCTTTCCGATTCCTCAGTCTAAGCCGCTAACCATTACTCCACCGTACCTCTCTCTCTCCCTCCCTCCCTCTCTCTCTCTCTCTCTCTCTCTCTCTCTCTCTCTATATATATATATATATATATATATATATATATATATATATATACTTTAAAAAACAGGAGATCAATTGTATCCGCTTACATTGGTTTCAACCTTACGATGTCCTCAGGCGATTTTTTATCAAATGACCTCTTAACGATTTATTTTTTAAAAACTAATGAACCAGATATTATTTTTTTAAATAAACAAACAAACGCACGACGTTTGGTGTAATATAAAGGGAAGAAGAGGATGTAAAGAAGAAGAAGAAGAAGAAGAAGAAGAAGAAGAAGAAGAAGAAGAAGAAGAAAGAGAAGAAAAGTAAGAGTATTCTAAAAGTATCGGTTGCGGGTGGTAATTGAAATGTACATTTTTTTAATCAAGCCTCATATGTGCTTAAGGTGAATTTCTTAATGTGCATTCAAGGACCTAAACCTCAAGATTTCTTGCTCAACTGGTTCTTTGTTTTTTTTTCTTTTAAATTCCACACATAGTCAGCAAGTTTGGTAGAGCACCTAAGACTTACTAGCTTGAATGACGACTTATGATTGTACCATCTGCGTTTGAAAGTAACTTCAGTACATCCTATGTACATTTTATTCAGGCCATTAATATCTAAAGTAGAAGTAACATATATTAATTTAAAAGAAAGAAAGAACAGGGATCCGATTGTAAGTTGGACAATTTTAAAAAAGGCGAAGACTTATAACGACCACAACAATATTTGCAACCACTGTCAACAGGAAAAATTAACAATTTTGACATCTCCGGAGTCATAGAATCTTTTGAACCAGAAACCGAAGTCTTGAGTCCATGCATACATATTAAAAATTCCTCTTAAGCACATATGAGGCTGGATGCAAAAAACAAAAAAAAAAAAAAAAAAAAAACAAACAAAAAAACGTACATTTCAACTAACCTCCCACCGATATTCTTCTTCTTCTTCTTCTTCTTCTTCTTCTTCTTCTTCACATCCTCTTACTCACTTTATATTATACACAAGGTCGTGCGTTTATATATTCATTTATTTTTTAAAAACATATCGCGTTCATTAGTTAAAAAAAAAACGTTAAGAGGTCATATATATATATATATATATATATATATATATATATATATATATATATATATTTCGATTATAGGTGCAGTTCAATTTATAATTACATGAATCATTCATACAAAAAACAAATATAGAGGTTAATGATTTAAATGGCGAGAATACATCTTGGCAAACAATTTCAATAAGTTGACCTAACCACGAACCTGTATATGAATGATATGATCCCTGTTTATAAATTCCAGTTTCATAAGGTCTTCTTTAGTTTTTACAAACTTTCGTCTGTTCCTACAGACATCCTCAGGTATGGAAATAGATTTGGAAATAGATTTGTTCTTGTTTTTTACTTCTCGGTAATAAGAGGACAACGAAAATATAGATGTAATCCGAAAAAAGTGTTACTATTTTGGAACGTGCGGTCGCAACGCTGAGTTTGAATTTTAAATTTTAAGGTTGTGTGTTTTTGTACAAATATAGTAATAAGAGAATTCTTTTGTACTGGTAGGTTTTCCGTCAATGTGGCATGAACTATATTGTTCAATAATTACAAAAATGTCACACTTATTATCCGAAAGTTGAACGTTGGATCAGTTATTTTAATTTCGATTATAGGTACAGTTCAATTTATAATTACATGAATCATTCATACAAAAAACAAATATTGACGGAAAACCTACCAGTAGATAGATTTGATAGATAGTTAATGTAACGATTGGCAGTGAGGAAAATGAAATCAGTGTTCTGAGTTCAAATTCTGATCGGATCTTCTACATTCATTTAATTCTAACTCCCTTGGAAAAAAGGCACGAGTTCGCCTTTTTCTAGTTATAAGTTAAGTATGCAAGACTGGGCTAATTTGTTTTTAGGCAGCAGCCAACCGAGGAGGAAAACTGAATTTAAAGCGCAAAAAGGAGTATTTTTGTGTTGAAGTTTGGCTTGGCTATTAACTAACTGGCCCTCAGCCAGCTATCCTGAAGGTTACTTTTTCGCTGGATTCTGAGTGGGGATATTGAGAGGGCGGGTCTGCATCTAAAAATCCACTCAAGCACAGGCTGTTCTTTCTGGAACGGAACCACTAGCAACCCTTGTGATGGATAGTTTAAACATTATATATAATTTCATAATAACACGAAATAATTCTGAAATACTCATGAGTCTCCTCATTATTTATAGATATAAGCGTATGCTGAATTGCAGTCAGTCATAGATTGAAAAATAAACAAAAAATGGTAATGAGAATGTAAGAGAGTAAGGGCTAAGAAGGTTGGATGCAGCATGCTTTACCGCTTGGCCACAGAGAGCATTCACAGCAAGACTCTATTTTCCCTTTTTACGGAAAGCACAACGGATCAAACGATGGTTTCTTCTACAAAAGGCGGACGCAACTTCAATCCCTGTCGTAGAGTACATTTCTTTATAGCCACTGTTTAAGAACAAAGAAAAAAAGCAAAAACAAAGCAAAGCAAAATAAGGTATCGGATTTAATTCATTTCCTAAAAAATTTAATCCATTTCCTAAAAAAATTAATCCATTTCCTAAAAAATTTAATCCATTTCCTAAAAAATTGTCTTTGTTTAAATTAGGATAGGAAACAGATCAGATATGTATATTTCAAGAATCGGGAAAGATGTGTGTTCAAAAGTAATATTCGGACTTTGTTTGATCAGCAGATCCTACGTGGCCTAGTGACCAAAGCGTGGTTTCTTCTAGGGGACGGTTTCCCCTAGGCGACGCAGGTTTGAACCCTGCCAGAGGGCGCATATTTTTCTAACTAGATTTGTCAAATGCCAGTAAATGTAAATAAATAAATATACTGTTTACAAATAAATAAAAACAGAGCATCAACTCAGATACATCTATCTTGCATTCTAATGGCAATCTTGGATTAAAAATGTTAGATTATAGTCCCCTAAAAAATTAGGTTCCAGGCACTAATGGGTTACGTAGTTTCAGTATCCTAGCTCAGAAGAAGTTAATTAAAGCAAAGAATGTTTGAAACTTACTAAATCCACAGTGTTGCTTCAAACTTTAGGACTTTTATGTATGTATGTGTGTGTGTGCGTGTGTATGTGTTTTTATGTGTGTGTCTATATATGTTTTTAGGAACAGGTTCTTGTAGTACTTATGTTTGCTATTAGTAAACTTTATGTTGGGCTGTTGAATGACTAGTTATGGTCACCTTGTTTAATGCCGGGAAATGTAAACTAACAAAACGTTACAGGAACCAATCACGTGGTCACTGATTGCACTACACAAAAACCTGAATTTCCTTGTAAAAATATATTATCTGACCCGGTTGCATGTGATAAAATATAAATAAAACGAACGAATAAACTTGCGTTCCTGTTTTTTTTTTTTTTTTTTTTGTAGTTTGCAGCTTCAAGGGAATCATCTTTCTCGCTAATTCAAACAAATTATTTAGAGAGAAAACGTAGCTACATCAATAAATCCGTAGCCTAATGATAAAAAATGTACATATTTTTTTATAATAATAAAAAGCTGATTTTTCAATTTAATGTCCTTCTTTGACAATATATTTAATCTCGTGATGAATATTAACCCCTGAGATCGAACACAAGACAGTGATCAAAATTTCAGATAAAAAATCCAGTTCAGTCTGTTTAATATTTTCCTAAACTATTTCCTGCGCATATACAAGCACAGATGTGAAGAGATGGGCACTGACCATCCCAAACGAATATACTAAAAGAAAACGAGTTCTGCTTTTTCACTCAAAGTTTGTGTCCCGACGATCAGGGCTATGCTGATGACATAGGTATTCATAGTTAGGATAAGAATGATCTTGAACAGAAAATCAATGTCCTCTACTAAGTGTTCCAAGAAATAGGACTGAAGATAAATATTTCTAAAACAGAAACAATGACCGGAAATTGGAATAAAACCAGTGATGACACTAATCCTGAATCCATTAGTTTCAGGATTTGGAATTAGTACTAAACACTTAAAAATCCTGGTGTATTGATCAGTTACAACACATTTAGTATAGGAGATAATGAAATGGAACTTAGGATAAGCTGTGTCAAGGGTAGTTTTTCTCAAAACTGCAAATTCTTGCAAAACCAAAACATTAACCTGAAAATTCGAGTTATGTTCTTAAATAGCTTCACTAATAGCATTGCACCAAACTTGTTCAGAAATATCCAATCTGTCAGCTCTATACTACCTTTTTCTCAGATCGATGGTGAAAGTTGGTTTCGAGCGAATGGATGCCTGTATATCTTAGCCAGGGCTATCCTTCTTTAAACCTTGTGAACTGGAGCTATAGAATCACAAAAATACCAAACAGATTAAGTTTCGTCACGAGAGAACTTTCAACAGCAGCAACAACTAAAATAGATAGCACTTACAATAATAGTGATATAATCAAGATTTTGACATTCCACAATACTTCAAACAAAAGGTTAGGAAGGAAACCAGCGTCAAGACTGGGAAAGACAGTAACTAGACTTGAGAAATTTATTTTCCTGAAAAATTGTTTAAAGAAAAATATTTGATAAATTTCAACTGAAAGGTAGCACTGGCTGCTCGGTCATTGAATTCCCAATGTTTTCTTATAAGGAAACGGCTAATACTACACTTACCATTTAATATTTACCAGATATTATCTTCTCAGTTTAGTATTTATTCTCGTGTTCATCGAATTCTTTTAATGAAAGTTATTCTGATTTCCTAGAAGACTGCAAAAGGCATCTACAGTAATTCTTTGCTGTGAAAGATAAAACTTCTGGGAGAATGATGAAGCTGCCTGAAAGATGACAGATGATAATGGAAGAAGACTGTAAATATATTGTTCGTTTATGTCGAAATTAAACAAAACTATTTTCACTTCATAAAACAGTTTTTGGCCAGCCCAGTAGGATCGGAAGACAATAATTCAATACAAAATAAAACAAATAGGACGGTTAAAATTAGAATGAAGTAAAAATAGGCTTTTATCGGTATTTTTCAGTATAATATTAGAAATTCACAGCAAAATTTTATTATTTATATTATTTGAAAAACGAAATTAGTGGCTGCCAAAAACGGCTTAATATATCTGTGACATTGTGTCAAAAAGAAAAGAATGGAAAAGCAGAGTAAAAAAATGTGGGAAATAGAAAGAAAAAAATGAAGAAAGAAAGAGCAAAAAAAAAAAGTATAAAAACGAAAGAAAAAAGAAAGGATGAAAAATAAAGAAAGAGAAAAAAAAGAAAGAAAAAAGATAAAAAAAGAAAGGCTGAGAAAACAAAACAGAATGAAATTACTGCATATCGGCAAATAATGTTGGACGTTTTAGTTCGGTTAATCCCTTCAAATAGTGGATGGGAATATACTTGCCTTGAAAATCGGTATTTAAAATTCTAGGCTAGAACATCAATCACGATGTTAGAAGAAATTATGCAACTCCCACAACGAAACAAACCACATTTCAGGAATATGTACTAAGGTTAATGATTTGTGTCTTCATAGACCCCCAAAATATCTACACTATTATATTACGTCTTTGTACATATCACCATTACGCTATTCTAAGATGAAAGTGTAGTATCTGTCCGATTCACGGTCCTCCGGAATTGGAATCACTTATGATCTCTTACTGAGAAACTTGGTTAACTATGTCGTGATAGACAATTTTCTCGCCAGAATCTATCTTGAACATTCTACCATTCGTACATGCATCGAACACCAACACATCTGGTCTGATGCCTCTGGTATATATTTACAGATTTTTAGCAGAATGAAAATAAGAATCTAGAAAGAATAAAAATAAGAATCTGTTACGTTATTGGCCCTGATCTGATATCTCGGCTTCTTGTTGTTTTTCTACAATCGTGACGTAGCTTTCCTATAAATATTTTCAAGGTAACTCTTCTGGTGAGTTTTTTCTTTGGTACATTGACTTCATTTAAATCTATTACTAAATTGGCAGTTAGGTCCCATAATATCAACGCTAAAAGTGCTAAATGTAACCGTAAGTTCTATGCTAATAGTTTCTTCTTCCGGTTCCTTGTTTTCCTGTCTTCTTCTTGTTTCTCTTCAGGACGTTGGTGATCATGGCTCTTCACAATTTCCTGTCCTTTGTAACACTTAGTAAAGTTTGTCTTTCGCTCTCTTCCCTAATCTCTGTCCTGTCCACCATGTATAAAAACTTATTTGGTAGGTTATATGATACTTTCCCCTGACCGTCTTACCTTCAATATGTCCTGTGAGTGTTAAATTATGTCTGATTATGTGTTCTAGAAGTTTCAATTGTCTCTTTCTGATATTAAGTATAAATGTCCCTTTTGTTTTCATCTTCTCTAAAACTTTATCGTTGCTCAACGTCCATAGTATTCCCAGCATCATTCTACAGAACCACATTTTCTTTAATAAGATTTCTCAAAATTTAAGGCCGATAGATATACTGTTTAATATATAAACTGAGCGTCTACTCAAATACTTGTATCTACTAATAATAACGTTTAAAGTGAAAAAAATCTTTCGGATTAATAAAAATCCATTCTAATAATAATAATAATAATAATAATAATAATATATATATATATATATATATATATATATATATATATATATATGTGTGTGTGTGTGTGTGTGTGTGCGTGTATTTGTGCGTTTGCATGTATTTCTAGTACTAATGAATTTATATTTTGTTCCTTTTTGTACAACTTTGAGTTTCATGCATGAGGCAATCGTCAGGCGCGGATTGAAAACTGACCGTTGTAAAATTTAAATTTTAATATATACAGGGTGGCCACCGAAAAACTGAAGGGTTTGAAAAAGTAATAACCTGTTTGTTTTCAATCATTTTATTTTTTATTTGCAGATTATAGAGCATCTCTTGGAGATTAAAATGGCTACGTATGATATCCTGCAACGCGTAAAACTCGTTGAGTTTTTCTATTCCAGTGAAAGTTCAATTATTCAAACTCAGAGAAAATGCCGGCAACGTTTTAATGTTAGAGTATCTCCTAGCGATAACATGATTACGTACCTAATCGTCCGGTTTGAAAGAACTGGATCAGTTGGCAATCTTCCAGGAAGAGGGCCTAATCACACTGTGCGCACTGAGGCAGCGGCGAAAGCTGTACGGCCGAGTGTCCTTGAGGATACGTCAACTTCTACCAGTCGTCGCTCTGCTCAATTAGGCATCGCCAAAACATCGCTTCAGAAGATTCTGAAACTGGATTTAAAAATGTTTCCATACAAGATTCAAATGGTCCAAACTTTACTACTCCAAGATACGCAGCAGCGCTTGCAGTATGCTATTTGACTTGAACATTTAGCCAGAGATAACTAGAATTTTGTGAAGAATTTGATAATGTGCGTTGAGGCCCATTTTCATTTAAACGAGCACATCAACAAACAAACTGCAGTTTTGGGGGTACTAAGAATCCCAGGAAATTACATCAGCATCGATTGCATTCCCAAAAATGCACTGTTTGGTGGAGTGTTATAGTTGAAAGAATTATCGGCTCCTATTTCTTTGAAAACGAGGAACGTCAGCCAGAAAGAACCAACGGGACCCTATATAGGACTGTCTGAATTTTTTTATGCCCAGTGGTCGAAGATAATCAGGAGGTATTGTTCCAACAGGATGGAGCTACTGCGCACACTGCCAAGGCGAAAATAGACCTCCTGCGAAAACTTTTCGCTGAACGAATAATATTAAAAAATGTTGAATTTGTTTGGCCTCCTCGTTTACCTGATTTGACGGCACCAGACTTCTTTTTGTTGGGATACTTGAAAGAACGGGTTGACGTAAATAAATATCGAACAATTCTAGTACTTAAGGAGAACATTCGAGCGAAAATCCGACGTTTAGGATCTGAAACTTTGCGTACGGTCATGGAAAATGTTGTGGAAAGAGCCGGTATTTGTGAGCAGAAAAATGGGGGTCATTTGAGAGATGTTGTTTTTCACACATAATACTGAAAAAAAAGCCCATTAATTATATTTCCAATTAAAATAATAAAAAATAAAAAAAAAAAACTGTGTTTGTAAAAGTATTTCAATGACCACCAACTTACTGTTAAAATAGTAGAGCAGTACATGTATTTATTTTAAAACAGAAGAAATAAAAAAAGAAAATATATAATATATATTTGTAAAAAGGGCATGAAAAAAATACAGTTATATCAAACGGTGAAGAACAAAATGTATATTTATTATTAGTATAAATTTTTGGCTCTCTTATACACCGAAAACACTTTTATTACCACCAGCACTTACTGCCCGCTATTTTATACGTATCTATCTATCTATCTATCTATCTATCTATCTATCTATATATATATATATATATATTTATTTCACCACCAAGCAAGGCGGGTGTGCCACTAGCACGCAAGGAATCACAGAGAGTTGGAGCAATAGTAAAGAGGCGTGATAGAGGAAAGGATGAAGAGAAGGACGAAGAATAGATTAATGTATCGGAAGATGCCGATTGACATTGCATTTGAATATTTGGAGATTATAGTTACCAGGGAAGCAAGTAAGAGGAAGGGAGTTCCACAGACGGGAAGTGTGAGACATGAAGCTATTGGAGTAGAAGATACGGCTACATTTAACCGTTTCGACAGTGAAAGGATGGGTCTGAGATGCCAGCCTAGTAGCACGTTTAAATTCATGCAGTTTGGGAACCAGCGAAAGTAGCTCGTCGGAGCAGTTACTATGAAAGTATTTGTAGAAAAGAAAAGAGGGAAGCCACAGCACGCCTGTGAGAGACCGACTGTAAACGAGATGCCAGATCAGGGTCAATCACATTGCATATCCGCCTCTGGATTTTGTCGAGCACCTTAAGACGAACACCGGGTGCTTCAGACAATATATGACATCAGAATCCATGCAAGGGGGAAAAGTTGATTCATAGATTTAAAGAATGGGCTCGGGTAAGAAAAACTTTCTGGCGCGACACAGGGAAACATCTTTCCTTGCGGTATCGATTCCAGCATGCGGCATCTTTGGAAAGTGCTTGAAAACTATACTACGGCTTTACCCAAGCCTTGTGAGTGAAACTGGGTAGACGGAACTCTTGGGGGCCGTCGGTATCTGTGTTAACACGCAGCCACAAGTCATCTTGGCCGAGGGCTTGAGTGTGCTGACCTTGTTCAAAATGTTGATCACGTTAGATAACATGCTCTTTCCCAGAAACTGTAACTAAGGTCTTCTCAGCATAGTTGCAGTATAAACCACAGGTGGTCCCTGTGGGTGTTGAACAAACACAAATCTGCCTGAGCGAGAGTCTGCAATAGAAATTGGCTAGCCGCCCTAGTAGACGGGTATCCTCGAATACGAGTGCCCAGTATCTTAGCATTATTCGTGAAATAATGATGGTACTAGAAGTTTTTCAAAGTGTTTTCTATGCATATTTCTTCTTCAGGTAAGTATTGGGACAAATTCTTAGTTCTCTTAAATAGAATCCTATAATTATTCTAGATTTATCCTGTTATAGTGGTGAGAATAGAAATTGATAAGGTCATTCTTGTTGGCAGATTTTCTCTAAGGCTCCTAGTGAACGTCATTATTGGTTCTATGTAGCATGATGTATAACAAGGGTAAAGTGTTGTTAGACTCAGATTCAAAGGTAAAATCAGTTGTAGGTTCGATATTATTAAGTTTCTTAACAAAATCGGGTAAAACTATGTCTTGTGGATATATTAATAGAGACTCAACTATGTGTCTAAAATAAGTTTTTGGTAAAATATTTTTGAAAGGACAACTTTCTAGAAATTCCCAAAAATAGACAAGCCAAAACGTCACTATATCGGTAAACCAAACTTTTGACTATAAAAATTGTTATCGAACGTGAAAAAATGATTAAATGGCACATTTTTATGATCTTTATGTGTAGGAAGAAGTAATTTTATTTTTGTTTTTGTTAAATGTTTTTAATAAATTTAGGCATTTCTTTACAAGAACATTCATATGTAAAATTTTTCTGTCTGAATTGGTCATATAGTTGTTATTATGTCAATTTTTAAAAATGTATTTTAAAGATCGCCATTTTTTTTTATATGCGAGGAGCTAGTTATATTAGGCCTGATGACTGCGTTTAGCATGAAACTGTCTGTCGCCGCTGATTGCTGACTTCAATGTTCACTTTTATATTTACATACGCTCTGTCTCTGATATTAAGCATTTTATCCATAAATATAGCACACCTTAACACTATATATATATATATATATATATATATATATATATATATATATATATATAAATATAAAAGTATACACC